GCCCCAACGCCCCAATCGGCCATGCTCTGAGCCCAACCTGGGGCTGCACCTAGGGATGGGGCCTGCCCTCTGCCACCTGGGAGCGGGCCTAAGCCAGCAGGTCGTTATCTCCCAAGGGGTCCCAGACTGCGAGAGAGCACAGGCCGGGCTGAGGGACGCCCTCCCCCCTCCCCCCCGAGTGCACAAATTTTTGTGCACAGGGCCTCTAGTCCTATCTAATAAAGGTGTAATATGCAAATTAACCATCACTCCATCACAAAGATGGCAGCACCCATAGCCACAAGATGCTGGCACGCAGTCCCTTCAGCCCCGCCGTAGTCCCCCAGTCCTGGGGGGGCAGCTGCTGAGAGCGGACAGCATGAGCGGCCTGGCAAAATGCTTGCTTTGTTGCTGCAGCAACGAGGCAAGCATTCCACCCTGGCCACGGAGGGCACCTGGACAGCGGGCACAGAGTGGCTGGGGCGGGATGTTTGCGTCATCACTGCGGCGACGAGGCAAGGGTCCTGCCCCGGCCGTGGAGGGCCTCTGGGCTGCAGAGAGCCTCTGGGCAGCGGGTGTGGAGTGGCCAGGCCCTGCAAAGAGCAGAGAATGTGCACAAATTTCGTGCACCGGGCCCCTAGTAAAAATTAAAAAGGAAGAAGAAATGGAAAAACAGAAGTCGGGGGGTGAGGGGGGACCTAGAGATTGATTAAAAAAATATCTAAGAATCTTATTCTTCCCTAAGTTCCAAAACTATGACCTGCTTATTCCCTTTAATCCCTCAGCAATATGGTAAAATAAACACACATAAATATGTCAAAAACAAGTGAGCTATTTAAAAAATGAATTAATCCAAAGATCTATAAATTCTATAGCTCTTAATTGCAATAGTTGAGAAATTAGTTATAAAAATGATGTAAGTATGAAAAATGATTCTGGGGTAAACTAAAACTAATAAACAGGATTTAAATAGTTAAAGAGAGTCCATTACAAAAATACATTCTTATTCCAAAACCACATATTTAGATTGATCCAATTTATTAAGTATGTTACCAATGCATTGCATAATTCATAGCCCCTTGGACCTGTCTTCAAAAAAAAGATGCTTATTTAAAAATCAAGTACAAAACTAGAATCTATTAACATGGGAGTCCAATTTTAGAACAAAACTTTTATTTGTGTAACAAGTTCACTAGATACTCACTTTTTCTGATTACCACAATGCAATTTACTCATCTGGGCCTTGATTTACAAAGATGATGACTTCTTAACTCACAAGCATATTTTATAACAGTCTCATGGAATTGAACTGCTATAGGTTTTATAAACACTACTTCCATCTACAAATAGAAATAAGTACCTTACAATATTTTGGAATGATACATAGTTACGCTGGTTTTCTAACTTGATCACTTCAGTTCCTCTGTTCCTTATATTTATTATGTAACAACTGTCTTAAAAATGTTATTGCTGTGTAGGTAGTTACTGAACAATTCAAGTTTTCTGCGACTGGAGGAAAGAAAATGGCAAGTTTGAAGTGGTCACAGACCAGAGTTATAGTTACCTAACAGTTGAAGATGATCTGAAAGTGAATTTTCTACCAAAAGCCAAGACTGTCTCTTCCAAACTACTGACAACAACCTTTGAAGTAGGACAGACGCTGCATTAACTGGCCCCTAAATAACTGTACATGGTATATGTTTTATGCTGCCAACCATCCGTGTGGAGGAGAAACAGATCTTCAACAAAGGCCTTTCATGGAAGAAGACAGAGAAAACGTTTCCACATTCATGGAAGAAAAACGGAAAACGTGTCCGCATATGCCTATGTGCTCTCTTACTACATTCCCAATACCTTTGGAAACAGTTTCCTTGGTTCAAGAATACTCGCAGAAAATTATTCCCGGATTACAAGATATACCCAGCCTTCCTTCGCATTAACTGGCAAACTTGTGGCTCTTTGTAAATGTCTCTCTTAATAGATGAACCAAGGCTACCACGCTGAGGTAGTGAAATACTTTGCAATATGTTGTTGTAGTTTTTAATCTTATTCCCAATCCATAGGTTGAAAAGCATTTTTTAGTCTTTAATCACTAAAATAGTTTTGGTCTATTCTTGTTGATTTTTACTTTATACTTTTATATACAGTGACTCCATTTGAGAACTTTATTATCTTAAAATACCTGGAGGAAAACGGTATACTACCCGCTTAGAGCCCCTGATGTCAGAGTGACAGTGAGACCACCACGATTATATGCAGCCTCTTACCAATTAGGAAGATGGAGCCTTCTTTTAAGCATAAGGCGAAGGAATATCAAAGGCTACAAGCCTTAATACGTTTTTAGATTTGGGGTTGCACAGCACTGGATAATGTTACTAATGTGCAAAGTAAAAAGCGACAACTTCACAGTTAACTCCTTATCGTTTGTGCATGATGTACCCCAGCCAGGCGGTACCAATACCAACCCAAACGGTGTGTTTAAGAAAAGTTGGGACTAAGGGAAACGCCAATGGCAGGAAGCTGACCCAAAGGTGCCTCCCAACACTCCTCACCCCGAAATGGCAAGGAGAGAACAGTGCAAAACCGCCCCGACTGCAGCGGCTTCACACTTAATAAGAGTTCATCTCTTGGCTGGTTCTTTGGAGTCCCCTCGGCCCAGAAAGGACCAGGGTCCCGACAGGACCTGGGATGCAAGGTGAGGAGTAAAGGTGGGCGGAGAGGAAGCTGACCTGCGGGAGAAGAGCCGGGCTCGGACTGCAGCGGGGAGGGGCGGGGGGTTGTCAAGGGCGATGCAGGGCCCCAGCGGTAGGAATTGGGGAGCACCTAGGGGTCCGGGTGGCCGCCACAGCTGGGGGGCCGCGCCAAGGGAGAAGCTACCCGAGAAAGGGGATGCGGGCGTGATGGGCGGTGCCGATCGTCCCCCC